TGTAAGGTGAGTTTGCCTTGACACGCGGCTAGCTGGGGCTGGACGGACTCGCCCACCCACACAGATGGGAGTGACGTGCATTTCCACTAGACCCACACCAGCGCCTGATGTGGGACCCGGGCAAACGCGTAATTAAGTATTAGTTGGCCTTGCGTGGAATTAATATGTACCATATCGGAAAGAGATTCAAATTTTACAGCTGTTTTTTTTTTATTAAAGTCACGTGCCACTTTGTGCGGTGAGCCGTGTTTTGTGTGCTTGATGAAGCTCCTGCTAATGGGCTTCGTGTAAGATGTTATGATACCGGTAGGGACCACAACAGCTTTGCCCTGCACAGAATTTGGACGAAATCCATTCTGTGGTTTCGGATATTTGTGTATAAAAGTGGAAACTAGATGCTGTGTAGCAAAATTACGGCAAGTTACTCTTGCTACCCGGCTTCATTCCACCGCCTTTCAAAAAAGTTTTGTGCAGGTGGAAAGGCGGTGTTACGCTGTGGGACAACGACTGCAGCGCCTCGGTCGGTGGTAGGCCGAAAGGAAAACCAGTAGTACTGGAACTGGCAAACGAAGGAAACGAAATCGAAATTAAAACGTACAAAACTGCAGTTTTACCTGTTATTTTTTACGGGCGAACCTCGGTCTCTCGCGTTATGGCAAGAACAGAGATCGAGGGTGTTTTTTTATTTGTGCGTGTATTTGCAATTTTTAACGACGTGGTCACTGGCTCAGACCGTAGCGCCCAATGTTAGGATGTTTAATGAGTAATGAATTGGAAATGATGCTGAAGCAAGTGGTCGTGGCCTATTTTAAGGTGCTAGCCCGGAAGGGCTTTAGAAAATCTCAGGACAGCCTGTCTCCGGTAGGAGTAGTGCTAACCGTTTTGCCGCAACTTTCGGTCTGAACGGGTAACGTTTGTCCCGCTATGCGCCATGTAGGCGCTTGGGGGGAGTGGAGGTATAGCTCCTTCCTTTCTTGACCTCGGCACTAGATGGGGGTGAGTGGTCAGCATAACGCCCCGGCCGGCTGGGCGAGTAAAGAGGTTAATATTAAACTGCATTTTCGGGAAATGGGGTTCGGACGTGTGGATTGGATTCATCTGGCTCAGGATAGGGCATGGTGGCGGGCTGCTGTATGCGCGGTAATGATCTTACCAGTTTGCATAAAGATGCGGGAATTTGTCATCTTCTCACGGACTGTGCTCCATGGAGTTGGTTAAAGGAAGGTGTTCTGTTTTCACGAATGTGGTGTGCTGTGATCTGCCACTGCGTGGTGTACGGAAAATCGGTACCTCCCGGACATTTTGTGTACAGAACTGCAGTGCTAATTTTAGAAACTGTGTTGCAGGAAAGTTGTAGTTTTTTTTTAAAAAAAAGAAGCTGTAATGTTTAAACTGAGCGGTACGGCCCAGCGGTATCCGTTTTGCATCTGAACAGCGCTACTGACTGTTGTCACACGATTCTCGCTGTCTTCCTGTCTCCAGGCGATGGCTGATTAGTAATGTCGTTTGGAAAGGATCGCCTCCTGCCTCATCACGACTTCCATGGTTTCATAACTTTCCGAACTGAAAGAAGCATAGCTAAGTAGAGGAGGTGTGGCATTGAAAGGGGCCCCGGGTTCGATCCCACTCGTCGCCATTAGCATTACAAAGTAAACTGATAACAGATCCTTTACAATGACAATCAAAACACGGTGTACGGAGTCAGAAGGTCGTTTGTCGCGCGTGAAGTATTCAGCACATCGGATAATGTTTTAAACAAAATGTATATATTTTCGATCTTTGTTCGTTGTCACATGTGTTGCCAATTCTTTTGAGAAATTTGGCAACGTTGAATTTTTCTTCATCCCGAGAAATTTCTCACGATACAGCTGGCGGCGTACAGCCAGAGGAAATCGGTATGGATCCGGAGATGGATCATGGCGATGGACAGGAGTGGCGTCTTATGTAGGGGAAGGGGCAGTCAGTGCTGTGTGGCCCTTGTGTAACAATCATGTGAGTGGGTGGCTGTGACAAATTGTACATGGGTGGAAGCGCCAAGATGGTCCCACTTTTTCTAAAAATACCTCTACTTCTCGCCCATTGCGAACAGTGGGGAAATATGGCGCATATTTAACTGAAACTCCCAGGAGTTCCGCGAAACGCGAGCTGCTAGTCTTTTGTCTTTGATTAAGAATTGCTTTCTTTATGATGAACGCCGTGTGCTGAACACTACAGCGCGGTTTGATGTACGCCGTTGGTCTTGTGCTTGTATTCAAGCCTTTCGTAAGAGGAACGCGAGACTGCCTTCCTGTGTGGTGAGCCCAAGTGTTGTTTGCGCATAGTCCCTCTGCACTAAATTCCGAAATTTGCTGAACGGATTACTGTGAAATTTGGGATTTTGCACCAACTCAAAACATTATCAGGAGATATTCACTTTGGTTTGTATCAGCGTGCTTTAAATTAAAATGAATTTTAAATGTATCACATTAATATACAGCTTTTGTTTGAAACATTTTTCCAGCACTTAAAAAATACAAGTACCATGCTTTTTTATGACAGTACATTGTGACATCTGTGTCTGTAGTAATGGTAAATTAAACTCAAGGACATTGATGTGTGTAAACTTGCAGATGACACATTTTAAAGTATGTTTTTTCCATTAGAGTACAGAATACCACTGTTGTCATAAAATGTGTCCAAAAAGTGTTCACTTGAGAACATTTTCCCTATGTTGATGGTAATCTTTTGGTTTGTGATGACATGTGGTTTTGTGGGCTGTTACCATCGATTTGGAGGAAGGTCAAACCCTAAAGATGGAGGTGATAATTTTCTCCAAAACATTATTAACCACTATCCATACTACCATACAACATCACAACCTTTCCATCAACAAATTTGCCTCTGTGGGAACCTCAAATCTTTCAAATTCTGTCCTAACTACCTTTCAGGCCACCTTCAGTATCTGACTTTATTTCTGCTGTGCAGTGTGAGATATCAGCTGCAGTTTTGTTGGTCAGGAAAGCAGACGTGGCTTTGAACCGGCGATAAACAAGATCTGCAGTTACACAAAGGGTAGGAACTGGTGAACCTTAAACCAGTGGATTGCGTAGGGCAGAGTCATTGAGAAACTAGCAGTGCTCAGACAGTTAAGATGTTGCCCCTCTTTTAATGGGTACCCCAAGTTCAGAAGAGCCACTGATCTGATGGACACCCCAAGTTCAGAAGAGCCACTGATCTTTGGGTTGCACCAGATGGGTCCAGTCCACATTGTCACACCCTGTTTCTTGAAGATTCATTGTAATGTTACCTTGCAGAGTGGTCGCTGTTCTTCAGATTTTCTGACTAAATTTTTGTTTATATTCCTTACATGTTTGTTATGTGCTCCACACATCTCCTGTTCCTTCCTTCCTATCAGGTCCAGATATTCTTCTTAGTTAACTGTTCTCAAACATCTTCAGTTAGTGTTTCTTTTTAATGTAAGAGAAAGTGTCTTACTCATACAAAACGTGGTAAAATAGTTGTATATTTTGTAATCTTCGCGTATTTAGATGGCATGCACGAAGATGAATATGAACTTAATCTTGCTCGTAACTTCTTTTAACAGAATTTTTAAAGTGTTACTGCCAGAACTTTGCAACATTTTTTAAATATTTTATTAGCTAGCTTTATATTATATTATCCTTTATTTTGGTGATGAGGTTTAAAACATTAATTCAGTTTTCTTTTTGTTTTTGTTTTTATAGTTTTCATTCAGTAAATTAACATGATCAGCTTTGAACAGAAGTTCACATGTAATATTAAGTTCCAGCCCCTCCTCGTCTTTATGCAACTTCCTGATTTTCTGAACCAAAGTTTAAAAGAAATGGAGATAAAATGTGTGCTTATTTCAGACAGTTTTGAGTACATCAGGCAAATGTTTATTTATACAGACTTTAATATATA